GGCCGATGGGCTCAGCCACCAGACAGCCCACAGCAGCCGTCCGCCAGGCCAGGAAGTGTCCTGCACAGGCTCGCTGTGCCGCACAGCAGGGTGACTTCGAGTGTAGGGGAGGAGGCAGGGGAGATGGGGTGCTCACCCTGGATCTGCCACTGTCCCCTCAATGCCCCCTGCCCAAAGGCAGACACAGAGGCCACTTTACAAGTGGGCCCACAAGATCACTGTGAAGCCCCTTCACTCATGGCCCTGGGACACAGGGCAAAGCTGGGTTCTGTTGGGGGGAGGGGTGTCTGCAGGGCAGGGAGTGGGGCCGAGGGGGACGCTCCAGGCCAGCCTCAGCTCTGCACCCACCAATCCTCCTCCCAGGGCAGGAACCTCACAGCCCATGGCTGAGATCTCAGTGGGTCCCTCCTGGGAGGCAGAGTCCCTGCCCATAAAGGGAAGGGAGGCCCAGGGGGCAGGAGGGAAGTGAGGGAAGAATGTGGCTTCCAGGCCCACTGGGACCCCGAGACTCCAGCAGAAACACAGGAAAGATGCCACCCACAAAGCACCCACAAGGACTAACAGGCCCCACGGCTCTCTGGGCTGCAGGGGAAGGAGGGGCACAGGTGTCTGCCCACGGGTGAGAGCCCCTCCTCCAGGCCACACCAGCTGCCTCCACCTCGGACTTGTGGAGCACAGCGCTATTTCTGACTCAGCCCACGGCAAGGACGACAGGGCATGGGGAGGAGGTGTCATGCTAGTCAGGCAGGCGGGCAAGTCACGGACGGACTCAGCTCTCCGTGTGACCTGCGCCCTCCCCCAACCCCCACACAGGTCAGACGGCCCACCTCCACCTGCCAGGACCCAGGGCACTGGCCCATTGGAAGCCGAGGCGACCGATGTGGCCTCAGTGGGGGATGGGGAGAGAGGCGACACACAGCGGAACCGCTGCCCATGGGGCCCGGAGAGGTGGATACCTGAGCAGTCAGCAGAAAAGCAGCCCAGGGCCCTCAGACCAGGGCAAGCCCCTCCTCACCTGTGGGACCACCCACCTGAGGGTCTTGGGCGTCCCCCGTGGAGCCAGGCAGCCTCGGGCTCTGGCCACCCCAGCAAGCTGGCCCTTCATGTCATGAGGCCAGGGAAGAGCCAGGCTTGGCTCCCTCCACCCAGACCCCCAGTGGGGTCCCACAATCCCCTGCATCCAGCCCAGGGCTCTTCTGTCCAGGGAGGGCTGAGCCACCGCAGGTGGGTGGAAGGACACACACCAGAAACCTGGGGCCAAGAGCCGCACCCCGAGAAGGCAAGCCAGAGGGACGCAGCACACTGCATAGGGGCCACCTGGCAGGCATCCCAGGGACCACACCCAAGGGACCATGCATCTGCTGGAAACAGACCCGTACTGCATCTCAGAGCCCCTCTCCCGAATCCTCCCAGGGATGCTGAGGCAGGAATCACAGTGACAGATAACACAGGGGACGAGGGCTCCTGGCCAGAGCCACTCAGGGTATCCCCAGGCCGAGGGCCCCCCACCCGAAACCCAGCCCTGGCTTTGCATCCAGAATAATCCCAGTGCGGGATGCAGGAACACTGTACACACGACTTGGGAAGCCAGGAACACGGGCCCCTGACGCTGGGTCAGTAAGAGGCAGATGTGGTGATCGGTCCCTTTTTTAAGGTTTTTATGCACAAATGAGGGTACCCGAATTAAAAAGAAAAACTCACTATCCAAAGAACTCAATTCACCATAACCTTCAAGTTCATTCCAAGTAGCTGTTCCGTCCTCCTGAGGAAGCATCCCTGTGCTGTGCTTCCCTATGTGATACGAAACATGAAACCAACTTTCGGACATTCTGCAGCGGAGGCCGCCCATCCCTCCCCAAAACTCCCCACCGACGAGGTCTGGGCAGAAAAACACCAAGGCCCAGAGCGGTTCAAAGGGAGCGACGTCAGCCCGAACTCAGAGAAGCCAGATCCCTGCCAGGGTGGAGTTCTGGCAGAGAAGCCGATGGTAGCATGACGGCCCCAAATCCCGGTGTGAGGCCAGACTGTGACCGGCCTGGGGACCGCTGAGCCCAGGGGCTTGAGGGGACAGAGGAAAGGAACAATACAGGATGGGAAGGAGGCCTCTGTGGGGAGAGGCCCGGTGGCCACGGGAGCTCTGAGAAGCTCAGACCACAGCCCGCAGGTCAGTGGGATCCGCGTCTGCCCCTCATGGCAGTCCCGTGGAGCCCTGGCAAGCAGGGAGGGGCACGCAGCTTAGGCAGACGGTGACAACATCACGCGGTCCTGAGCAGAGGGCACCCGTTCCTTTCTGGAGTTGCCTGGCCTGGTCCCCTCCTCGCAGGATCCTCCCTGGAGCGAAGGAGCAGGAGACTAGCATGTAGAATGTGCTGGCGCCTTTCTAGATTCGAGGTTGGCCCTCAGCACGTACATGGTGGGTTTGTCACCGCTTTACGGACGAGGCGACTGAGGATCAGAAAGCACCCACAGTCATGCAACTCGTGGGCAAGGAAGCAGCACAGACCCCACATCCAGGCAGCTGCAGAGCCCACTGGCCCCCAGCTCCACTGCCAGGCCTGCCTCCGTCAATGGGGCACGGGGCAGTCACCTCCACGACATTCATTGAGCACTTGCTAATGCCAAGCGCCATCTTGTATTTCACATCTATTAACTGGCCTGAACCTCAAAACCGGCAAACTCAGGAGGCATGATTACCTTCCTGGACAGCTGCCAAGCCTGGGCCCAGAGCGATCAGCTGTCTAGCCAAAGCCACCGGCTCGGGGGGAGCAGAGCCCTGGAGACCCGCTCTTACCCACCTGCTGCCCGCTGCCCACGGCCACCAGACCCAGCTCCTGTCCCAAGCGGAGCACTCACAGCTCTGCCCACCGCGAGGCCACCTGCTCCGTCTTCACACAGCGTTGCTGGTGCTCTGCTCTGAGCTCTGCACAGGACCGGGGCCCCCCTTCCGCACCCACGGCTTTTGGGTCCATGCCCCCCAGATGCAAGTGTGCTCTCTGCACCCGACCTCCTCAGACAAGGGAAGGGAGATCTTCCCTGGGTTTACGCCCTGGGCAGGGGCACTGTGGTCACCATCCTCAGACCCCGGCAGCCAATGCTGCCTGCTTGGCTGTGGCGACCTGGAATTCTCTGAAAAACTCGGACTCAGTATGAGGCGCAGGGTGACTAGGTTTCCTGCTGCGCACTGGACACCACGCGAGTGCGGGTTCCCGGATCCACTCAGCCCACTGGCCAGCTCGTGCTACGGGGGCTGCAAGGACCCCGGCCAGGAGACCGGGAAGGACCTGCTGTGCACAGCCTGGGTGGAACCAAGAGGCCGAAGTGGGCGTCAGGACCTTAGTGTGGAGATGGGATAGGAGGGGCCTCCTGTGCTCCAGGGCTCCGGGGCAGGACCCCCAGCCTCAGGGTCCCCGGAGTGTGTGAAACAAGGTCAGCAGGTGTGGGTGGGGCCTGGACTCTGCACCCTAAGGGTGACCTGGTGATGCTGGCGCGGGCCTGGGGCCACCCCGAGGGTGGGTGCACAGCCTCAGCCCCGCTCTCTGAGGGGGTGCAGTGGGCGGAGGGGACTACGTGGGGGGCTGTATCGCCACACAGAAAACCCTCCAGCAGTGACGGGCCTGCCTCTCCTACCCGTTCTCAGGTGGGGACCCCGGCCTCCTGGCTCTGAGCACGCTGCTGCCCCACTCCATCCATGCAGGGGACAAGGACACGGGGCATCTCACTGACGTGCACCCGGCCCACGTGGCTGGCCAGCCCTGGAGGGGTCCCAGCCCTTCAGACCTGCCCTGCAGGTGCCACGCTCACCTGACCAACGAGGAAACGACGGCTCTGGGAAGTTAAGCAGATCAAGGACACTGTCCCGGGCAGGTGTACCCCAACAGACAGGGCAGCACAGGATGGGGGGAGACGGAGGGGCCGAGGGAGCGACCTGCTGGAGGGGCAGGAGCTGCTAGAGCCCCGCCGCAAACCAGAAGACTGCACGGCCATCTGGAGAACAGAAAGCTGGTGCGTGGACAGGACCCAAGTCAGTCCACTTTGTGTTCACCTGACATACGATAAAGCGTGCTTCAAAACGCGGGGAAGGGAGGTTCACTTTAAAAACAGAGTTGTTCGTGCTGCTGCGAAAGAATTAGAAAGAAACTGATCCAATGACCACTGCCAGAGAAAACACACACAATGAGCTCAGCTTTACGGCAATTTTTAAAACCCTGAGAGAGCTGAGCACAGTGGTTCACATCTGTGATCCCAGCACTTTGGGAGGCCAAGGAGGGAGCATGACTTGAGGCCAGGAGTTCACGACCAGCCTGGGCAACATAGCGAGACCCCATCTCCACAAAAAATAAAAAAAATTAGCTGGGCGTGGTGGTGGCACCTGTAGTCCCAGCTATTTGGGAGGCTGAGGCAGGAGGATCGCTTGAGCCTAGGAGTCTGAGGCTACAGTGAGCTGTGATGACACCTCTGCACTCCAGCCCAGGCAAGAGAGCAAGACCCTGTCTCAAAGAAAACAAACAAAAAAAACCTTAAAATACTTATTGGTACAAAATGATAAAGAGCTGACCTCCTAAACAATACATAAAGTACTCAATTGAGTTTAAAAACGTGACTAAAACTGCCTCAAACACAGGGACAAGCCATGAGAGAACAGTGAACGTGCAGAAACAGTTCAATCCTGCTGGTCAGCAGAGAAGCCCAAGCCCTGTGGCTCCAGTCCCCAGGCAGGACTTGGTCCCCACTGCGGGCCGGGGTGCAGGGCGACCCCCGCCCTGGGCTTCCCAACAGCAGCAGGTCCTGTAATCAGGAAGGCGGCAACACACAGCCCAGAGGCAAAACCAGAAGCTGCAATCTGCTCCGGGGAACTCACTCTGAGAAGCAGCCGGAGGGCGCATCCGGTGCTCCAAGGACAGAAGGCACCGTGCAAGCTCGCCTGCACCCTGTTCAGACCCTGGGCTCGCGAGCTGGTAATCTCAAAGCCAGTCCGGCACCCGCGAGGCAAGCGGCCTCACCTCTCCTGATGGAAGTGACGCTCCTCGTGTCCAGCTCCAGGCTCTGCACCAAGGCGCTGGGGTCTATCTTGGTCCTGGCAAAGATGTCAGTGTTGACGAAAGCCCAGTCCTAATGTCCCCAAGAAAAAGGGAAAGAGAAGACATGAGCATTGCTCCATGGTTTGAGGGGGAAATGCAATGCAGGGAGAGGACGCACAAGGACCCGGTCCCCTGGCTTCTCTGCCCAGGAGGACCCAGGGAACCAGAGTAGGAGCCCCGGTCCAGGGCTGTCTTCCTCCTGCCTCAAACCCCAGGCAGGCTTTGCTCCTGGCTCTTTGGGAGTCAGGATCAGTGCTGGTTACAAGGGACAATCTCTTTATCTCATTCTTTCCACGACTTCCATGTCATAACCATGCTGCACCTCAGCAGCCTCGTGCCCAGCTCTGTCTCCGAGCCACACTCACCCTACACCCGACTTCAACCCTCCAAGTCACCCGCTGACCGCGCTGTGATGAGCTGGAAGCCCAGCCCCCACTCCCCTGCCCGCCCAGCCCATTCAAGTCCAAGCACCATGACCTTGCAGGGCCACATAGACCCCACAGAAGGTCTCTGAAGCGTGGTAGAACACACCACACCAAAATAGACCACTTAGGCAGAGGGATCATTTTGAGCTAAAGGCACTTAAAAAAGCAGCAGGAACAACAAGGGCACTCTGGCCTCCCTTTTCCCCCGAAAGTAGGAGATAAAACCCCATGTGGAAGACGCCCTCCCTATACCAAGGGGAAGGGACATTCCTATCACTGAAGACTAAAAGTCAAAGCTGAGAGAATTCTGTGCAACAGACCTGGTTAAAACAATTCCCACCTTGCTTCACTTTCCCCGTGTAGATTAGTTACGTCCCACAGCTGCCTCTGTCCAACCCCACACGAGAGCACGAGGCTATGCCACTTCTCTGGGCTGCTCATGAGGCTCCTGGGCCATGTAAAACCTCGTTGATAAATGTGTCTGCTTCTCCCCTTCAACCTGTCTTATGTCAGTTTAAATCTCAGGCCCGACCAAAAAACTGTGAGGATGGAGGTAAAATTTTGCCTGCGCGCATTAGAGAGAGACAGGAAGCCAAGAAGATACTGGGCCGGACAGCAGGTCGCGGCGCCCCAGCACCCGAGGGAAGCCCTAGCTCTCGGGGGGCTACAGGACGGGGACGGAGAGTCAGTGAGGGAGACAGTGTCAGAGACTCACAGGGGAGTGGTGCTGGAGCCCAGGGGCAGCCAGGCCGAGACCTGGGGGGCAAGGGGTACCATGTGGGGACCAGGACGGGGTGCGTGGCCTTCTGGGTCTCCAGTGCACGTGACGTGCAACGCTTTCCACACTATGTCGGGCATTTTCCACGGTGGCACTCAATCTCTCGTTCATGCGAAGATGCTGATGTTACATCATCTGAATGCCTGGCAGGGATGACAATGTCGCCATCTGATTAGAAATCCCGTTCACCTGTCTACTCCAAGTCGAAGTCCAATGGCTACATTTTTTTATACACAAGTTCTACCTGTTGCTTTTTCTCCAGATCTGCCTAGTGTTTTTAAGGGCTTTTGTTCCTTTCTCCTATTTGATTCCTTAAGCATGTCTTTAATATTTTTAGACACTTATTTTCTAATTTCTAAATGATAACTTTATTTTCTGATTTTGCAGCATCTATACTGACGCTTATTCTTTCTGCTGATCTCGTCCATGGTGAGTTGTTTCCTTGTAACCTTGGCTGTAGTCTTGAGTTCAGCGAGATTTCATCTGCTGCAGGAATCTCACCCAGGCTGGCCAGCACCAGGTTGAGAGCCAGGGCTGTCGGGGAGCCAACGTTGGGACTGGCAGCAAAGGTGGTGGACGCTCCCCAGCAAACCACCACCTCACTAAAGAAACTTATAAATCTCGCCAGGAGCAGCAGGAGTCAGCGGCCATGACCTGCTCTCCAGCCCCATCGTACAGAAACCACCCAGGAGTTTTCTCCTTTCCCTCCAGTCTGGGGCTATGACTCCACTCTGGGAGGGTAGGGGTAGGCAGCTGGCGGCCCCCTTGGCCTCCCCTGGCACTATGTGGCACAGACTCTATTCCAAGCAGGAGGCCAGAGGACCAGGGCTCCCTTCCCCCACCCCACCCTAGGGCAGAAGCTCCACCCCAGGCAGAGATGGTCAGAACCTAACCCTAACCCTGATTAGCCCCACACCAGCTCACTAGTAGGGAGGACGCTCCAATGAGCCAAGAAACAAGACTAAGGCACCCCTCCAGTAGAGGGGTGTCATCTGAGAGACGCTGAAGCTGTCCCCGCCCCCATCTCTGGTGACCTGATACAGAGCTGCCACCCAGAGGGGTAGGTCCTAAGGAGGAAGAACTCTACAGCCTGCCAGCAGGGACTGACTTCACCTGGAACTAACGCGGAGATGCCGTGCCCAAGGCGGCTGTTGCCAGGAGGGGGCTCCAGGCAGCCAGGGATCCTGAGGCTCCTGGGTACTGACAGCAACCCCCTAAGGCAGAGCAAGCCAGGGAAGAGCCAAGGCCACAGGCAAGGCTGGCTCCAGGTTGCACACGCTCGGGAACCATCAGCCAGGCAGGCACACCAGAAAGCACTCCCCGGCAGACGCGGGGCACAGCCCCACTGGCACCAGGGCTCAAGCAAACCTCTGAGCAGACACCTGCTGGACGACAGGCCACTGTGAGGCAGGAGCAGCTCCCGGGAAGCTGTACCCCTGGCAATCCGGAGGCTGTATGCAAGCCCAAGGCCATGCCCTCACAGGAGCACGCAGAGGGACTCTCCAAGCTACCAACTTCTTGGCTGTGCAGAGGTCAAAAACATAAACAGTCCGGGGTTTGAGACCAGCCAGAGCAAGAGCGAGACCCCCATCTCTACAAAAAAATACAAAAATTAGCCTGGCGTGGTGGCACCTGCCTATAGTCCCAGCTACTCAGGAGGCTGAGGCTCCAGGAGGATCGCTTGAGCCCAGGAGTTTGAGGTTGCTGTGAGCTAAACAGACACCACGGCACTCTAGTCCGGGCGACAGAGTGAGACTCTGTCTCAAAAAATAGATACATAGACAGACAGATAGACAGATAGATAGTTAGACAGCCTGATCTGTGACAGCAGCCTCCACGCCACAGAAGCACCCAGTGGTAAAAGCCAAAACTCCAACTGGTAGAGGAGGCTTAAGAACAGTATTTGACCAGGAAGTGGCTTAAGTAGCTAGGCTAAAAGATAAAAAGAGGAAAAAAAAAATGAGGAGGGGACACCAGAGGCTGCGCACAGGCAGGGGAGGGGCAGGGAAGCGATCTCACATAGTTCGGAATCACGTCAATAAACAAACAAAATGACCAAGCCAACATCAACCACCTGGTTGCTACAATACTACCTAAAATGCCCAATTTTCAACAACAAACAATGATACAGTCAAAGAAATAGGAAAGCATGACCCGGGCAATAGAAACTGTTGTTGAGGGGCCCAGATGTCAGACTTAGCAAATAAAAGACTTCGAAGCAACCATTATAAATATTTCCAAAGAACTAAAAGAGACCATGTCTGAAGAATTAAAGGAAGGTGGCTGGGAGCAATGGCTCACGCCTATAATCCTAACACTTTGGGAGGCCAAGGAGGGGGGATGACTTGAGGCCAGGAGTTCAAGACCAGCCTGAGCAATACTAAGACCCCCCATCTCCACAAAAAAAATAAAAAATTAGTGAGGCATGGTGGTGCGCACCTGTAGACCCAGCAACTCGGGAGGCTGAGACAGGAAGATCTCTCAAGCCCAGGAGTTTGAGGCTGCAGTGAGCTGTGATGACACCACTGCACTCTACCCAAGGTGACAGAGTAAGACTGTCTCAAAAA